ACACTTCCTACAAGCTGAAACATCAACTTAAAAAACACAACCCAAAAACCCCCTAAAAAACACAGCAATGCATTAGTTTATAAGGAGTATAACTGACTAGTAAGCCACCAAATATGGTACTAAAAAAGTATAAATTGTGAAAACAATTAAGGTAGCAAGGTGGAGCAGGGGGAAGACACATCCTTATAGACCAAGTTTAGCAACACACAAAACAGTAGTGCAAGTTTAAGCTTTCAGAAAAGGATGATTTACAACTGTCATTTTATAAAGCAGTTCTCCCTCTTCAATGATTTTGTGCTCTGTTTCATGGTCATATCAGATTGCTCAAAAAGGATAAAAATAAATTTTACTTCTGTCAATTATGCACGCTAGAAGCAGCTCTGTCATGCCCATCAGAATTTCACTTGTTTTCTTGTGTTAAGCAAGAATACTGGAAATGTACAAGAAAAACAGTCTTCTCAACAGTGGGAGCTCATCAATGAGTCTTTTCCAAATTCTAGTCTGGATGAGAATTCATTCTCCTCGGTAGAAATGCAGAAGAATAACGAAGCTGCACTAGTTTAGGCAGTTTAAGCAAGAGAATAATACAGCATATCAAATGTTTACAACTGACATTGAATAAAATAAGAACATACTGGCTCTCAGAGTGTAACTACACGTTATGTTTTTTTCAGCACCAACTACCCTCCCACACACACTCACACACAAAAGCGGAGGGGAAATGAGAAGAGAGGTATTTTTAACCCAGATGATTTTGGCAATCAGATTTGCAGTGCACTAACATAAATGCCTGTATATATACATATATACGCCTGTATATATACATATATACATGTATATATGTATATATACAACTGACAGGATGGCAAGCTTTAGGACATGGGGAGAAACAAGCAACCAGGACAGGAACTGCAGGTGTTTTCACTATCAAATAAAAATGTAACATGCAACTAAACCCTTAGGCCATAGCCTCATATGCATTTAAACTAGAACAGCAGTCTTCGTGTACCTCCAGCTTCACCCTGAAGTAACGGAATTAAGTTCCAAATAGGGAAATAAGTCATGAAATTTGATTTGGCATGTAAGAAAAAACGACTAAATAAAAAGGAAAAATCAAATGCACCTGCTTAAGCCATAAGCACATTTCAGAAAATTCTGTACTTCTGTTGCAGCAAATGGAGTTAATCTCAGTTGAGGTTTTTTCCTTTTTTTAAAAAATAAAAGTTCTCATAGCAGAGTGCTCTGAGATACGTTGATAAAAAGCGATGTACAAAGCAGGTAAAGAATCTAGTTTCTAACTGTAAGGTTCAACAAGAATTAGTCATTCTAAGTTCAGTTACAAGAACAGAAAATAGCAGCCGGAAGCGCTAGGCAGTGTTTGTACCTGTGCACTCTCCAGCTCTCCTGGTATTACTGGTTGATTACGAAGCATGTCTTTTAAATGAAAACTTGGTGGAAAGCTTGTGTTTCAGTATTTAAGGATTATTCATTAATACTCATGACCAGTTAAAAAAGAAAAATATTTACTTTTTGCTTTAAAAAAAAAAAAAAATCTATAAGTTCTACGGGCTCCTCTTTGCTTCCTTTTTTTCTCTGTGGGTATGTCATTCAAGAGGGCACAGTATTTTACTGCATAATACCCTTGTAGACAAAACGGAAGCTGTTGCCCTCCAGTTTGATGAAGCCTCATTTGTCATTCAGTGTTAGATAGAAAGTCAGCTTAACACGACCCAGTAGTTCAGAGATATTAAGAAATACACTATGGCCTTTGGGGAGATTCTTAAAATGACACAATACATCCGTGCAGCAGTTACTAACCCATAGTATTAACGGCCTGTTTGTCACTGCTATTCTGAAGATGAAGTGCGTTATTCTATATGATCAGTTGTTAGAATTTGTGAAAGGACTGCAGCCCTGCAATCCCAGAGCATCTGGTATGTGTAGACATGGGAACTGAGAGAATACTGAGCACTCCAAAACTGGTGTGTCGTGCCTGACGCACATGAAGAAGACTGATCGTAAAGATAAGTGAGGACATTAGGCAAATACTGATCAAAGAGAATAAGGGAATTATGTGCTGTAGTTGCCAGCCAAAGGTTTGTCTGGATGCTTGGTATTGCAGGCCAATTTATCATCCACAACCTAACTCTTCCTTTGGGGGGGGGGGGGGGGGGGGAACGAACCA